TGTGACTGCTCCCACTTTCAATGAAAAATTGAAAATTGACTTTATATTGCATTGGTAATGCATAGTATCTATCTACCGTATTAGATCTACACATAAATAGGGGTGACGTACGAGGACAGACAAACAGAGTGAGGCACAGACAGGGCGTGACTGAGAGTATAGCTAGAGTGGGGCGAGCTCAGGCTCGCCCCAATAATGATAATGATAATAATAATAGTGATAATAATAATAATAATAATAATAATAATAATAATAATAACGCGCCAAAAAATTTCATTAATTAGGGGCGCATCTGACAAAGCAGGTCTTAAGGTGTTCTTTTATTTCATTATACAGAGACTCTTAATCTTATCTATTTCTTTTGATACTGCACATAGTTATACTACAATAATCAAAGTTTACACAGTTGGTGAAAACTACTAGTTGGGTTTACTTATTGTAGTAAAAATACACTGTACGGAATTATATGATTTTGTCCAATATTCCGTAATATCGGACAGGTACATTATTTTTAGTATAATTTCATGCAAGAAGTACACTGCTTTCTTTTTCAAGAATCCTATTGCAAAGCTAAAAGTAATGCTTAATTTGATACATAAGGAATTGCGATTGCTCTTATGCAGAGCTAGCAAGAGCCGTCAGAACATGGGTGGGGTCCGATAATTGATCGTTTACTCTACATGTACACACTGTCAGTAGATCTACTACCAATATATACAATCAGTGATATTAACTTACTCTCTTGATCAAACTTGTCAGCTGGAACATTCTCATTCATAGATTTAAGAGCATCTGACAGTGAGTCAAAGGTAGCTCCTCCTTTATTGTCTACATCATCAGCTTTGGACAACCACTGAGAGAGACACTCTGTCAAGCAGCGAGATACATCACCTCGAAGAGTCACTTCTATGGCGTCCAATGTGTTCTTGTGTAGTCCTAGATTCAGTCCCAGCTCATGCCATCTTTTCTGAGGGAAGCCAAATCTCTTCAACAAATTAAGAACATCAATCAGTTGATCTAAAATTTAAAAACATAATTATTAGTATCATAAAGAATAATATTATTACTGGTAGTCAAAGAAGAAGAGAAGAGACAAGGAGAGCCTGGAGAGGAGGCCCTGATCTTCGTTGCCATCGTTTGCAGAAAGCAGAAGGGTGGAGCTGGTATGTAAACGGTCGTGTACGGCATGCAAACGCCCTAATTTAAAAGGGCGTGGCACATAAAATGGCTGCCAACGAGTTGAAACTAGGGATGAACCTTGAACTACATATGTTAATGTTCTTGTTTCTTTCACAGAAATATTTATTTACAAAAGTACAAGTATCATGTTCATTATTATGGTAATCAAATGTTCATTGAGGACTACTCTGAGGTAAATTTTAAATTACCTTAAAATAATATTCTAACTATATTTTTATGTTGAAATTGTACTGATGAAGATCTTGCATGTATATATTGAGAGAGGTTGGTTTTCTTTATACATAGTGGTTGGATAGGGTATATGTGTGAGGTTGAGGAATGTTGGGCTTTTGCATTTGCAATGGTTGCTTATTTTTACTTCGGTACAAAATAGATACATGTATTCATGATACTACATAAATCAATCTAATTTTCGTAGAATCATTGATAGCAAATGCAATGTGACATATTCATTTTGGTCAAGTGAAGTTAACCATAGTTTCTGCATTATCTAGTGTACTAGGGAGGAAATGTACACTGCCTTGTACCTATCTATTTCTTAAACCTCAGTGCTATTACCTATTGGTATTCATTTGTGCTTGAACCTAAAGCCTATAAAATTAATAATAGTCCAGTCAATGGTAGTCGTTTGTTTGTTCCTATTAATTAATATTTTTGACAAATTTTTAGCTTATAAGTCTTCTGTCACTATGTGCTTTTAGCACAAAAGAGTTTTAGTAAACATTGATTATAAATATTAGTTAGAAGTAATGCATACATGTATGTAATAGACCTTGGTTCAATTTTAAAACCTCAATTAAAATTACACATTCAGTTACACTCCTTTTGGAAAAATAGGCTTAATTAGAACTATTATTCCATCTTGAAGTAATTTTATGTGCAAATGCTATTTTGATACGTTTTTGCATGAAATAGAAACATAGTTTGTTTTAAAACAGCAGTTAAGCTGTCATAAAATTAATAAAATATTGTCACCAGGGTTTCCCAAAAGCATGCTAAGTGAGCTTAACAGCACACTTCATAGCATTTCACTATAGTGCATGGCTTTTAGAGTGATGAAACATCCAATTTTGATCAGAATCAGTCAAACTTGATAACAACATAAGGACATATTTATGTATCAGGAAAAATTATAAAAATAGAGAATTCTCTCCTGGTCATTTTTGACGAAATTTGGCTCAAGACTGCATGTAATATTAGTATATAGTCTTGGGCCATTCCAATTACATTCTGTTTAAGCTTAAGCTTTGTAGTTATACTTGAAAGTTTAATTCCAATTACAATTGTAACATAGTGTTTGTATGGTATTTGTTGTTTCAATAGGTTAAGTCAGAGGTGGAGAGAAGAAAGAATAGAGGGAAGGAACATGTGAAGAGAAGTGAGATGGTGCAAAAATTATATCAAAGACTTGATCCACCACTTTATACACTGGATGTAAGTCTCTTAGTTACTGTAACTATTAATTGTAGTTCATTAGTAATAATTATAGTATGCT